CCACGTACACACACACACGCGTGTGTGACTGTGTGTGTCTGTGTGTGTGGGGAGCGATAGTGCAGCGGTTCGCGCGCTGCGCTACGAACCCGGCGACACGGGTTCGTTTCCCGCTCACGGCCAACACCGGTGACGATTATCTGAACCGGTCCCGGGCCTCCCCTAGGTCGACTCAGCCTAAAATGAGTACCTGGTGCGGTGTGTAAACATTGCCACTAGGGAGACAAAGGCGGTCGGGCGTGGTTGCTGGCCACCCACCCCCCTCGTGTACCGTTCCGGCCTTCATAGGTGCTCGCTAACAGCACTTGCCCCTACAGTCTGTTAAGGCTATACGGGGGATCTTTGTGTGCGTGTGTGCGTGGAGGAGGAATCTTCCCGTGCCTCTCACCTTCCCTCATTAACGACTGGGCCCTTCAATCTCCCGCTACCTCTCCCCAGCGCCACTTCCACTGGCAGAGCACTTAGTATTTCTTATTGAACGCAAAGCATTCATCACTGCGCTGGCCGAGGCGGGGATAGAATCCCTTAGCAGCTTGGGTGGTTAGTGGCTGGAGAGGGGAGAGTGGAGTCGGTGGGGGGGGGGGGGGGGCTCAGAGGGAAGGTACCTTGACCCCCCCTCCTTAGCCCCCCATTCGTCTTGGAGGTAACACCAAAGCCACATTTTTAACAGCAAAAGTGTTTTAGACGGGAGTGAGTTTTTTGTTGTTGTTGTTTTTGTTGTTGTTGTTGTTTCGTACCCAAACAAACGCGTGGCGATCCCGGGAGGTTGGCGTCGAAACAGTCCGGAATTCGCGTCCTCCGATGAATCTTCTGTCCGCCCGACAACACTTTGGTGTGGAAAAGCCAACAAGCCTACGGATTAAGACACGGCCCGTGTAAACTTGTATACGTTAATGATAACGGTGTGTGTGTACATATATATACAGCACACACGCAATGGAAAAATGATTCGGACTCATAACACATTCCTGCGGAGGGAGCTGGTAGGAACGTTGGGTTGCTCGGTCAATGGCCAGGGTCAACGGCGGCGTGGTGTATTCCGCAAATATGGCCGACTGTGAGGGCGGGCACAAGCCGGCGTGAGTAGGTTAAACGTTGAGTTTTATAAGGGCACCACGGGGTGACCAGCCCCTCACCACCCAGCCCCACCCAGGCCCACCCCCCCACCCCGCCCCTCCCCACCTTCCTCACCCTCCCCTCCCCACCCAGCCCCTCTCCACCCTCCCCTCCACACCCAGCCCCTTCCTCCCCACCCAGCCCCTACTCAGTAAGGTCAAGCGTGAGTTTTATAAGGGCACCACGGGGTGACCAGCCCCTCCCCACCCAGCCCCACCACTCCCACCCCCACCCAGCCCCACCCTCCCAGCCCCTCCCTCCCCACCCAGCCCCTCCCTCCCCACCTAGCCCCTCCCTTCACGACGGACGGACGGACACAATATATCCCTGTGGGCTGGTGGGTTCCTACCAGTATTATTACATTTAGTGACTTACTTACATCAATGTTCTCTATGTTGCACTCCCGTCGTGTTTGTTGAAGCGTTTGCCGCCCTAAGTCGCTGAGCCGCCCGTATGTGGAACATCTGTGCACAATAAAAATAGCTTCCATGGCTCCCATCGGGTTCCTCCGGCAGTCTAAAGAACAATTGTGACGACTGCTTGTCTCTCTCGCCGTTGGTTTGATTGGTGGTGACAATGGCTGCAATGCGTCATCACTGCCGATTGCTGCGACCTGGGACTCAAGCGTTGTGATCTGTAGGGTCAGCTCGAGGTTATCCCCCAACCACTCCGTCGGGCGGATTAACCGCGTTCAAGATCGAGTCCCAAGTTGCACGGGACGGTCGTCTTGCGTGCAACGCAACGTTGACCGTGGGTCAAGAACGATGACTGCCAAAATTAAAACGAGTAAGAATGACACCGCAAACTGAACGCCGCGTTGTTCCCCAATCGGCACGGGCAGAGAGGGTGCCACGGTGGCTAGGAGATGTTAACTACCTCGCCTGGTATACAGGAGGTCGTGGGATCGATCTCGACCCTGACGCCTGCTGCTGTATATTTGGAGTTTGCGTGTCTCTCTCTCATCATCATCACGGTGGCTAGGAGATGTTAACTACCTCGCCTGATCGGATCATTGGGTAATAAATCGGCATTTTGCGACCTCTATGAGATGATAGGACAATAGTCTGAGTCCATAATTGGCAATAAGTAACGGCAAAGCGGTTTCAAGCGACTCACAGAATTGTGCGCAGTTGCGTCTGCAGCACACGACTTCCCTGAAGTGATTCACCTTCAGCGAGCGCGATGCCGATCACACGACGCGGTTCGAATTCGACCCTCGATCGATGGCTGCGCCATCGCCGCACACGCGTCGAATACAAAGCAAGGGACAAGTCCATACTTACTAACAACTCCTTACTTACTAACAACTCCTTACTCACTAACAACTCCTTACTTACTAACAACGCCTTACTCACCAACTACTCCTTACTTACTAACAACTCCTTACTAACTAACAACTCCTTACTCACTAACAACTCCTTACTTACTAACAACTCCTTACTAACAACTCCTTACTCACCAACTACTCCTTACTTACTAACAACTCCTTACTAACTAACAACTCCTTACTTACTAACAACTCCTCACTAACAACTCCTTGCTCACTAACAACTCCTTACTCACTAACAACTCCTTACTAACAACTCCTTACTTACTAACAACTCCTTACTCACTAACAACTCCTCTATAATTTTTCATTGTTGGAGGGGTTGCCCCCCACTACTTAAAAACCCTGGCTTTCATCCAGCAGTGGATTGCCAAAAGGCCTCTCAGTTAATATGTTCGTCCTCTTAATAATTTACCACTACTGCCATTGCCAGCCTCGATAAACTCACTCATGCTTAACATGAACGGATTTTAATCATATTTAGTTTTGCTGTTGCAATGGATGTAGCATCTGTTGTGAAATGATATCTGTAGCGTCAATATATATTCATATACATGCACATTTATATGACTGTGTACTCAGCAACAGTATAACAATCACATGAGCACCACAGCGTACTATCTCCGATTCGTAAATATGTGGGCATACATGTGTGCATATATATATCTGAACCTATGTATGTATGTGTGTGTATATATATGAATAAGAAAGAATATCACTCTCGTGCACAATTCGACGCATGTATCCCAAGTGCAAGAATCAAGTTCGAGTCGAAGAATCGATGATAAATCGATGACCAATCGATAACAAATCGACGTGAACAATTAAAGTATAGAACTCCTCGACTCGTCATTCCCTGCCTTTTCTTTGCAATTTCCCTGCAGCTTCTTGTTTTTTTATTTATAAAAAATGTATTTTTACGGGAACAGTTCAATTTCCCTTAAAAGTAACTCTGAGCTCGCTTTGTGCTGTAAAGGAGAGCTCGTTTTTGGTCAACTTTCAGAGTGATTGCCTGTACGCCCGCACACGCGCGCGCTCGTGAGCGAAAGCAACACGGGCAGATTGCAAGGCCGCTCCTAATCGCTCTGAAAGGAGGAGAGCGAGAAGAGACGATTGAGACACGACACGGGGAGAGAGAGAAAGAGACAGCGAGAAAGAGACAGCGAGAGAGAAAGAGACAGCGAGAAAGAGACAGCGAGAGAGAGAGACACGTGTAGCGGAGATATCAAGTGAATAGCAATCGGAGACACCGCGCGTTGACTGAGTGACCAAGGAAAAGGACAAAGACCCCCCGTATAGCCTGTAACAGACTGTAGGGGCAAGTGCTGTTAGCGAGTAGCACCTAATGAAGGTCGGCACGGCACACGAGGGGGTGGGTGGCCAACACCACGCCTGGCCGCCTTTGCCTCCCTAGTGGCGATGTTTACACACCGCACCAGCTACTCATTTGAGGCCGAGTCGACCTAGGGGAGGCCCCAGGACCGGTTCAGGTAGTCGTCACTGGGTGTTGGCCTTGAGCGGGAATCGAACCGGGGTCGTCAGGTTCGTAGCGCGGCGCGCTAACCGCTGCACCGCCGCTCCCCGCTGACCGAGTGTCCGCACCGCACGGCGAGACGGGGTCACGGTGGCCCCGATCGATGGGGTCTCGGTGGGGGAAACGGGCAGCCGCATTGACGCGATTGGCCACGTACGGTGCGAAAGAAATTTCAGCATACATACAAGCAAGGGAGGGGTAAACTTCCCACCCCCTCCCCTCCCGACCGCACCATCAGTGTTGGTGTACGGTGCTTTTTCTGCAATATTTTGCTGTCTTTTCTTGGATTTTCTGTTTGCACTTAGTCACATAGTCACTTGAAGATGTTTTCTTGTTCATGTATTTTTTTTGTTTTTTGCGGTTGCACCCGATTCAAGAGCCGAATGGCTCACAGGGCGATACCAAATAAATGAAACTTGAAACTTGAACTTGAAACCAGTGACATGGAGGGGATGAGATCGCATCGGGGTTCCATGCCGGAGTGGAGATGAGTTTGGCGAGTGGCAGGACCGTGAGCGCGGTGGCTGCGGCGTTAGTGGGGAGGCGTTGATCCAGCAGTGAATAGACCGTGGCTGATGTTTGACGACTGTGTGCAGTAGATATACAGATAGTTGTTTTTAATGTCACGTGCTCTTGTTTAACTCTTGACGTCTGCACAAAAATGAAGTTATCCTCGATAATAATTATCCATAATAGAGGTTGTTTTGGGTTAGATCGCGTAAATATCAATGTTGTGTCGTTAGACCCGCCACCACCCGACACAGCCAATGAGTAAGGGTTGTCACGTGGACAGAACGTGGCCAATTTGTTACGAGCACAGCACTAACCGGTGTGTTGGAGAGCAAATCTACAATGTTTTCGCTCAAATGTCAGCACCATCATTTAATCTGCGTTTGTCTCTCTCCGTCAACCCTCCTCCTCTACCCCACCCCCATCCCCCCCTTCTCCCCCTGCTCCCCCATCTCCCCGTGTCCCTCCAACCCTGTGTGCGCGCGTCTGCGTGGTGCCTCTCCTCGACTCCAGATGGATCGGATGAAAACCCCTTCACGCGTCTCATTTTTTAGTTGTGCTCCCTTTCTGCGCAAGAGCACAAGCGAAAGAGAGAGAGAGACACACACACAGGAGTGTACTGCCACCCTCTTTAGATATCTGTTTTCAACGAATCGTGTTCATCTCCTACTCCTCGTCACCACCGTTGCTGCTGCTGCTGTTGCTGTTGTTGTTGCTGCTGTTGTTGCTGTTGACGCTGGTGGCCGTCGCAGCAACAACGCCGATGTCAGCGGACCGCGAGCTGCCGCGAGAACTCCGGCAAGCGACTTGCGGCGACGAGAGAGGCGAGGGATCAGCGCCGCACGAAAACTACGAATCCCGCTTGACCGAGGACGGTGTCGATGACCTTCGCCGGATCACAACAACAACAACAGCCGACAACAACAACTCGTGGATTTTTTGCTGATAAACCAGCGTTTTTAAAACTGGCATGAAAAATAAAAAATATAAAAAACGCTTAAACGACAGAAATAAGCGTTGGAACAAACTGAGGACTTTTTAATCATCAGAACACTTTTTTTCTTTTGTAAACGCCTCGTGTATATATTTTTTTGTTCTCTTTAATTTTTTTTGTACACTGAAAATGCAATCGAACAGTTTCAGCTATCAAATGGAACTGCGATGGACGTTAAATCATCGCTTGGTCAACCTCAACGAAGAACATTTCACGATATTGGCAGGATGAGTACTTTGATTCGTCGCGCCGTGCATCGAAGAATTGGCCCAAGACCCGAAACGTTGGTGGGGGGGGGGGGACCCCACGGATGAAAATGGAAAACAAAAACACGTGGAAGAAAAACCATGCATACGCACGGCACTCTCATCTGCATCGCCCTCCAACATGCGTTTGACCTCTCTAAGTCCCCGGCATTGACGTCATCTTGTGAGTCGCAAATAAACAAAAAAAAGAGAACGACATGACGTCACTCGGTGCACGCGGTGACGCGCCGCGAGATGACGTCGCACGGGCGAGGCGCGTGCATGGCGCGTGATGACGTCGTCGAAGAGGATCTTCGTCGTTTTAATTATAGATTTGAAGCTTTCGTGACTGCAATGATTCATATTCTTAGGTTTTTTCGGTAAGGTCACGTAGGTAAAAAAAAATTTAAACTAAAATTGATAAAACTAAAATTATTTTACTTTATTAAAACTAAAATTGATAGAAGTAAAATTATTTTACTTTTATAAATTTTAGTTTACATTTTTTACCTACTTGACTTTACCGAAAAACCCCAAGAATATGAATACTTCGTCGTTTTGTGCACGTGTCGATGGGTTTGTGAGTGCGCAGGTCTTGACTCTCCGTCCAATTTCATTTGCTCAGCTTTATGCAGGGGGGGGGGGGGGGTGTAAGTCCCGGCGTAGCGACAGAAACAACATTCAAGTTGATATTCGATCATCGTTACAAGAGTTATTGTGACCTCCCCCCGCCATCAGCCCCGTGTTCCAGACGGACGGACAGACATGGCCGATGCATTTGTTGCAAAGCATTAAGCGAGACACGAATATGCTCCCATCACCGATAAGGTGCCGTGGTACATTATAAAATCATTAGAAACAGTGGGGAAATTGGGGAGGCGTTCATCCAGCGGTGGATTGACCACGGCTGACGATGATGAACGACTATGAGAAATGGAATAATCAGAGTTAGAATGTTTATTTATACCGGAGGAGGAATCCGATGATCTGCGAAGCTCTTTTTCACAGATGTCCTGTAGGAGGCTGGTCAGAACGTTACAGCAAACAGTTACACAAACGCGATAGGAGTGCAAAGAATAAGAAAGGTGAACAGGCCACATAGATCTTCTTGGTTCTTTCGGTAAAGTCACGTAGAATGGAAATAATAAAATAATAAAAATAAAACTGAATAAAAGAATTCTCACGACGTTTCGGCCACAACGCAAGCAGCCGTCCTCAGGTGAAGAACAGGTCTGAATGACACACCCCAGGCTTGGAGCGACTATTTAAGCTGGGATGGAAGGGGAAGAGCGCCTTGACAAAATAATTTGCATATCAAGAGGAATTTAGCATATTTATGGGAAATATTTATGGGAAATCCACATAGACATATACAACTAAACTAATTTTATTTTACCAGGTAAAACCCCGCCGAGGTATTAACTTATTTTTCAGAAGAGACCTGGCCACAAACGATAGCAAAAACACATTCCTGCGGAGGGAGCTGGTAGGAACGTTGGGTTGCTCGGTCAATGGCCAGGATCAACGGCGGCGTGGTGTATTCCGCAAATATGGCCGACTGTGAGGGCGGGCACAAGCCGACGTGAGTAGGTTAAACGTTGAGTTTTATAAGGGCACCACGGGGTGACCAGCCCCTCCTCACCCAGCCCCTCCCTACCCTTTACTCCCCACTCAGCCCCTCCCCACCCTCCCCTCTCCACCCAGCCCGACCCCTCCCATTTTTGGATGCACGACGGACGGACGGACGGACACAATAATCCCCTGTGGGCTGGTGGAACCAGGTGGTTCTACCAGTATAATCTCAATAATCTCAATGCATGTTGCTCAATGTGGATGAAAGTGTGGTTACCCCCACCTCTCTATGCGCGTCTGGCCCCAGCGTTGGACGAATCGTGGATCATCACGTGGAGATGTTTAGCAGCCGAATAATCTCATCGGAAAGCAGGCACCGGAGGGTTAACACAGCGCCATCTGTATCATATTTAAAATATAGAAATATATCTCTTCCCGCGGCAAACACGTCTATTATTGATTTACCTCCCCAAGAGCCGAATGGCTCACAGGGTTATACATAATAAATGAACTAAACTGAACTTATCCAGCCCCTCTTTGCTACAGCAGCAGCAGCAGTAGTAGCGGCAGAACGCACGTGGCCTATGGCGGCTCGCTCACAACGACATCGATGTTTGGGGGCTTTTAAGCGTTTGGCCCCCCCCCTCCCCCCCACTGGTGGATGTTTGAGAAGAGCCCCCACCCCTTAGCAGTGGCTGTGATGAAAGCATCTCACGACGTGATCCAGTAGTGGATGGATCAAGCCTTTGATCCAGCAGTGGATGGATCACGGCTTTGATCCAGCAGTGGATGGATCATGACTGACGATGATGATGATCGATCGTCTGATAAATTGAAAACGAAGTCGCATGGGATGACAGTTACCTCCCTTGGGCCGTCTAATCTGCTTATAGTTCAGAGTTTAACGTCTTAGCTTCTGCTCGATATAAAAACCCTCGATGGATTTATTTGATCTCCTCCACGCCGACGGTTGTTGTTGTTTGTTATCGCACAACGCCTCCTCCGTGTGTGGACATTCAACTTTTTGTTAGCTTCATTTCCACGAAACCGTCTCCGCTTACACCGATTATATATATTTTTTTTATTGCAGTACTTAAGTGACAACATCGTTGCAATGCTGTTTGGTTCACGTGCGCGAGTTCGATTACCGCTCACGGCCAACACCGGTGACGATTAGCTGAACCGGTAACGGGGCCTCCTCTGGGTCGACTCAGCCTCAAATGAGTACCCGGTGCGGTGTGTAGTAAACATCGCCGCTGACAGCACTTGCCCCACGAGGCTGTTTACAGGCTACACGGGGGATCTTTGTCTTTTTTTGTGTACATTGGTGCCAGAATTGTCCGGATTATAAGATGCACTTTACACTGCCCCCATGCCCTCTTCCGCCGCTGTATTACAAAGACGACGTGGTGAGTTGCGTTGAATAACAGCTGGGGCAGGTGTGTGTTGCGTGTGCCTGCTCTCTGACCCGTCTTGTGCCCAACCTTGTATTGGCATCTTCCTCAATCACAGGCCGGGCGTTGTGGCAAGGCGCAAAAGGGCACGCGCACAGACAACGGGGTGGACATTCACTCTGGCGTGACAACCCATGAACGATTGCGTTCGTATCAGGCGCCGTTCGTGGCACGCGATCTTACGTGTCGGATAATCGAGGGGGGGAAGCAGAGTTAATTGTCGCTTCTTCGCACGAGTACGGAAGCGGAGAGTTACTGGGCGAAACTATGTCCTGAGTTTTTAGTAAAAGATTGAAGTACTGGATTATTTGTAAATAGTTGCCCGTGTATATTTACAACGTCGCGAAATCTATGCATGATGGTACGATATTTACACAAAGTTGGTATACCTTGTAAAATATACCCATCTATATTTATTGATTTTTAAGGGCAGTAATCAAGGAGGGGTTTGCTTGTTAAGAAAAAAAAACGAAAATAAAAAGTTTAAATAGACGGTATTTTGAAAAAAATACACAAGTTGTATATAAGCAATATTTAAATCAAGAACAGTGCTGTTGTGTGTTGTATATAGCCGTGGCAGATCCTGGTATTTAGAGATGAGCATGCCATGCTAACCAACACAATATTGCCTGCACAAATCTAATAAAAGTACATTTTATCTGCATTGACTAAACCTTTTCGCGGATTTAAAAAAGAAAAAACCATGAGCATTGCGGAATGTATAAAAAAAACACGTGAAGGTATTAATTTCAAAATAAAGTTACATTTAAAGGGTTGCCTGTATGTGTATGGTAATTGCTCACTGTGTGGTGTTTGAAAAGTTGCACCGCTATTGCTACATGACTGCACCAAGTTTGCGTGTCTTTGTTTGGTACCACCTCGTGTAGTTATTGTCAAGTTTAGTTGACGATTAATTTAGTTCACACGGACAACCCCAATTGTGAGTGTTGATCGACAGGTTCTAGCCTGGGATTCCACGGTGGCTAGGAGATGTTAACTACCTCGCCTGGTATGCAGGAGGTCGTGGGTTCTATTCCGACCCTGACACCTGCTGTACATTTGGAGTTTGCGTGTCTCTCTCATCATCATCACGGTGCCTAGGAGATGTTAACTACCTCGCCTGGTATGCAGGAGGTCGTGGGTTCGATTCCGACCATGAAACCTGCTGTATATTTGGAGTTTGCTATGTTTCTCTCTCTCTCATCATCATCACGGTGGCTAGGAGAAACATCTTAAAGCGACGACGCGCAACAGAAACATCCTGGATAAACCAGCAAATCTTCAAAAAAAAACGCATTACAACGCTGTGTGCAAAAATCCCAGTGTGATGCAAGCCAAACAATAACAGCTATAAGACAATTTAGATTTTAAGAAACATGGCTTAACCATATGTTTTCAAAATCATCAAAATAAAGCTTAAAGAAACAAACCAACAACAGTTGGTTGTCCTTAGCTCGTCCTCGTTCCCCGAACCTCCGATTGGCACGGTCGACTACGTACGGTGCAAAAAAAGTTCAACATTCACACGCGCAGATAACCCTCCTCCTGGCTTATGTCGAGTTTCCCTTCACCGCCACACAGACGCTGCTGATGCCCCAATCCCTCCACACACACAGCACACAAAGACAAAGATCCCCCCCGTATAGCCTTCACAGACTGTTGTAGCAAGTGCTGTTAGCGAATAGCACCAGTGAAGGGAGGGGGGTGGGTGGCCAGCACCACGCTCGGCCGCCTATGTCTCTCCAGTGCCGATGTTTACACGCCGCACCAGGTACTCGTTTTAGGGCTGAGTCGACCTCGGGGAGGCACAGGAGCGGTTCAGAAATCGCTCGCCACTGATGTTATCTGTGGCCGCGATGTTGAACGCTGAAAAAACTAGGAACTGTTCCAATTCGGCACTCGGTTTGACTCTTTGCTCATTCGTCTCGAAATTGTGAACACTTTCGGATGAAAGTAAATATCTGTCGGGCAATGTTGGTTCGTGTCCTCAACACAATGGGGCCCGCTATGTGTGCACCGCGTTTGAAAGCATTTAGCTCACTCACTGTGCGTTTAATTTGCTAAATGTGTCCTGGTAAGTGGTGCAAGACTGGCAAGAGCCACATTGATCTCTTTCTTAATATATTCCAATTGTGTTTTTATAAAAAAAAAATATATAAAACTATTGGCCTAATCTCCGTACTATAAGACTCATGGCTGATGCCAGTAACGTTAAACAAAAGACAAAGATCCCCCGTATAGCCGTACCAGACTGTTGGGGCAAGTGCTGTTAGCGAGTAGCACCTAATGTATGAAGGCCGGCAATGTGCCACACGAGGGGGTGGGGGCTGGCCAGCGTCACGCCCGGCCGCCTTTGTCTCCCTCGTGACGATGTTTACACACCGCGCCAGTTAGCAATTTGAGGCCGAGTCGACCTAGGGGAGGCCCAGGACCAGTTCGGATAACCGTCGCTGGTGTTGGCCGTGAGCGCAGCAGCTTCCGTGCCACGACTCTCGGTTCGACACGCCGGGTAAGAAGACAATGTGCATCTCATCGACGGAATACGGTAACAATTATCGTCCTGTTGTTACACTTTGTCTTGCGATACTCTGGCTCCAAGATGTTGGGGCTTGTTTTTTTCCTCCCCCTCCCCCCTCCCCCCCATTTCTTGTGGCACCTTGGAACAACAAAGCGAATGCGGTCTCCGTTGCGGGCGCACATCAAGAATCTGGCTGAGCAATCACTACTCTCGACTAGCCGGTAAGGCAGCTCTTGGTCACTCGCCACTTTAACTCCACCACGTGGTGATGATGATGGTGGTGGTGGTCGTGTTCCTCCCCCCCCCCCCCCCTTTGTCGCCCGCGGGACAATTCCAGAATCGTCGCAATAAGAAGGTTCACTCAGGCCGGAGGAATCCGATGAGCTGAGAAGCTTTTTTTTTCTTCTTCCACAGATGCGTCCAGAAAAAAAACGGGCGGGTCAGCGAGTTGCAAGGGGAAAACAATGGAACAGCGAAAAAAACGATGAGAGTGGACGAATTTATATTTAGCTAAATAGCTAAATATAAATACGTAATAAATGTATTAATTACGCAAGTCCGATTCATCAGGCTTGGGCAAGGCTGAAAAAACGTCTAAATGAGTCCCAGACCACACCAAGATAACACCACACAGCAGTAGCAGTCCCGCAATAAAGTAACTGGATTTCCCATCTCTCACGTAAATGTTTCCTATTTAAGAAAGCCGCAACATACAGCGGAACTCCTGCGATAGTTCAATGGGGCGTCACGGTGGCTATGAGATGTCAACTACCTCGCCTGGTGTACAGGAGATCGCTGCTTCGAGCCCGACCCTGACGATGCCCGTTGTATATTTGGGGTTTGCGCATTATCCCTTGTGGTCACGTGGATTTTTCTCCGGGTCCCTCCGATGTTTCCCACGACATCGAGAAACACGCGTTTGGAGTGTCTGGCTGCTACACATTTCCACACGATGAGAAGCCACTTTCGTTGAGCCATCATTTGTGGCCAGGTCGATTCTGAAAAAAAGAGCCATACATCTCAGCATGGCCTTACCTGTTAAAATAAAAAATATATATATATTATAAAGAGCATTGATTTATATTTAGAGGGCTCAGTTCTAAGGAATATCCCTAATCGTCTGGTCAGTATCAGCCATCCTCGTCCTCCTCGGCACCGCAATTTCTCCAGCAAGCTGCATCCACCCGCAGTGTAAACAACCACATGGGGGAGGAGGGGGAGTGACGCAGACCCGTTTACTCCTCGCTAAAGCCCCCCGGGTTTAAGATGCGATGGGAAGGATTTGGGCCAAGGGGTAAGTTGAGTGAGAAAGGGGGGGTGGTGAGACACGGGGGGAGGGAGTGGGAGTAGAGAAGCGTGATAGGCCAGACACGTGGTACGGGGGGGGGGAGGGGTTGGTCTGGGGAGTAGCGCTGCAGGGAGGTGAGGGGGGTCAGTGCGATGTTTAGCTGGGGTGGTGTTGGTCGCTCTCCCAGCGCTCAAATACCTTCCACTGGTCACCCGCAGGAGCACCAGGCCACACGGTGGCTGCGACTTTGTGTTTGCACGTGAAAGTGTGTTCCCTCGCTCGCTACGGGCGAGAGGGCAGACAGCCCACTTT